CTATAGCATTTCATGTGACTTTGAGACATCTTACCTACTTCTATACAAGCAGACAAGATAATAATTTTTGCTGACACTCTCATCCTTGAGTATATTCTTTTTAGATCCTTATCTTGAGTACAAGTACTCGGACACAGGCTCTGGGGGCTGCAGGGTACATATCCTATAGGGATGTTTTTTTTCTTTTGGGCCCTCAAACTCTTTGTTTCACAAACAGCAAGAGGCTCGGGGGCTACACTCAGTGAGTGCACTTTTTCAAAAAGTGCACATGACCCAAAGGTCTTACAGAGCACTTCATGGCTTCAGTCAAGAAAGCGCTCAAACTTTGCTTGTTTCTACTAGGAAAACCTTAGAGGAACAAGAAGGGCTTTAGAGTTCAACCATGACACACTCGGGGGCTTGATGGACTAGGGTCCTAGGGGTCCCCATAGGGATGCTACCTGGATGGGCCTTGGGCTGGCCTATGACCTGTTGAAGGACGCGGGACAAGTGGCATGGACTTCAAGCTATTCCAGGTCGACCTAGTTGGCTTACGATGAAAGCTAGATTCTATAATAGGACTAGGACTCATCTCTTGTAACCAACTAGGACTAGATACATGTCGTTACCCTCTCTCCCATATAAAGAGAGGTACAGTGCACCCCCTTGTAACCCTAACAATCATACCAATCAATCCAACGCAAAAAGCTACACGCCAACTGGATGGAAAGGCTATTACTCGATAAGAGGGCCTAAACCAATATAAATCATTTGTCTCTTTGCGTTTATTATTGAGTTCTGTGTATGCTAAAGCCCTTCGAAAATCGTCCCGGGTAACCCTGTGAGGACTTGTCGGTCATCAAACACCGATAGGAACACGCACTCGATCATCTCTAAGACTAGACATAGGGCTCTAGCCTGAACTAGTATAAATCCTCATGTCTTTTGGATGCTACCATCATCATCCTAGAGCTGCGCGACAATCGTATAAGTTTACTAGTCTAGTTTACAAAACACCAACACTAACTATCGGGCTTATAATCCTTGGGTGTCTCAAGGCACTGATTAATTAGTAGGCCGAGCGGCCCATGACGCATCATCTAGCAAAGGCCCGAGTGACCGAGGCCCGCTGAGCCAAGTAGAATAGGTCTGATGCCAAGGCCAGGGTCGGCCATGACCCCTCCTTCTATCTTAGCCACACAATGCACAAGAGACTCATGACCTCTCCGCCGTCCTGACCCCAAGAGGAATGGGGAGAGGTCATGACCAGCCAAACGTGCCCGCTCTGACAAGAGTAGGCATTCTGTACTGACCCCACAAGGACCAAGGGGATAGCGGTCACCTCAGTCTAGTCAAACGCCACCCCTGCGTCACGCAGCACGGACAAGACAACACCGCCCAAGGCGGTGACAGCCGGTACGGAGCCCACCGGCCAAATACGGCCTGATAAGACACATGTATGATTCTACCCACTACGGGATGGGATCCACGATGAAGGCCTTGACTTAGGGACCATTCAGACCGATGGGATCCATGACCCCAATGATTGGGATCATGGCCCTCAGCTCCTCAAGCCCACGGGGCTATCAATGACACAGGGGTTGCTATCAACTCCTGTACGATGCCCTCAAAAACCAGGAGGTGATGACGAAGACCACTGCGAAGACCACATCACACAAGACGGCTGGCAAACCACCACTGTGCCTATAGTGTCGCCACGGCCAGCACAGTAGCACCACGTCACGCCATACTGTGATGTGGCCATAGGACCATGACGACAACCACGCCCAGACGTGCACCACAAGACGACGTAGCTTGCAAGCCAAGTTAGCTAGACCCTCCCCTAGGCTCATGACCCTTCAGTCAAGAGAACCTTCATCTTTGTACATGCCCTGGCCCCGAACTCTATATAAGGGCAGCCAGGGCAACCATCTTGAGGATCCAACACTCATTCACTCATTCTTACACCGTAGAAGGGCTCCTGGAGCTTCCCTTCGAGTAGCCTGTCTCCTAGCTTTAGCTCTCTTACCTCTTCCACCATTCTTATACCAATATAAATCATCGTGTCTTCTAGATGCTACCATCGTCTTCCTAGAGCAGCGTGACAATTGTATAAATTTACTAGTCTAGTTTACAAAACACCGCCACTACTGTACCGCACTACATCACCCAATACAAAAGAAGGGTAAGGAGAGTGGCTAACGTACCACGCCACATCACCATTGTCGTCGTTCTTAGCATTGTTCTTAGCAGTGATCGCCATCACAACTGCACAGGGGCCTAGCATGGCAAAAAGGACCTGTGGAAAATGTAGATAGGAGATATGACACGTGGGCTAGTGTGCGGGTAGCATGTATTACGTAAATTCGAATTAAGCAAGACACAACACAAGTCTAGAGGTGTTAAAGCTACCTAGGGAGAGTGGGAGGGTGGAGCATGGGGAAAGTAGGGCAAAGTTTGTAGGTGACTTGGCAAATGGAACTATGGCATGTGGCACCGTGAACTGCAAATATGAATGAGATGCCGTGAGGAGGGCAACTACTATATGGTATTCTGTATACTATGTATATATGAGAATTTGACTCGTGTGTTATTTTGTTGTATCAGATCTGGTAAAAAATCGGTAAGCTAATAGAAGAAAAACCAATAGAATATTTGATACATTATAGAGGAATAGGTGATCAAAGAAATAGCGTATGTAGATGACTTGTATGTTAATAGATTAAAAATTAAAAGTATTGCACGTGATAGAGATAATGTGAATATTTTTTGTAATTAATAAGGGATGACATAGACTTAGTTGAGAATGATGTGGACACCTTGCATGAAGAGATAGAACATCAATTGGGGTCATTTAGTGGAGAATGATGTGGACACCTTGCTTGAAGAGAAAAATCATCTAGTGATATTTAGCTTTATAAGAGTATATAGATAAGTGATGATATAAAACTATTAAATTTGTTCAACTATTTAATACAAAACTGCTCTTTTATCCCTAAGATCCCTTATATTTAGATATAACTTTTTAATGCTCATATATACTACTCACTTTATTTCAAATTGTAAGACGTTCTGACTTTTCTATCTAGACATAATGTATATCTGGTATTTAACAAAAGTAATATGCTTAGGGAGTGCTTGGGACTGCTCCACTCCATGCTTTTCAGGTCCGCTCCATATTTTTTTACCCAGATAGGTTCAACTCCATGCAACTCTGCTCTAGAAAAAAAAGTGGAGTTGTGAGAGCACCTAAATGAGTGTGTAGAGACCGTGATGCCTAAGAGGGGCGGGATGAATTAGACAACTTAAAAACTAGTTTTAAAGCTATAGCCTCTAATTTCAACATATATAGTATCTATCTTGATATGCAACTAAAATGTTGCTAGGTGTGTTACTATCTCTACTATAAAAGACTTATGCAACTTAGGAGCCGACACGATTTCCCTTTTTCGACAATAATAAGTAACCTTATCTTATACCCAGTTTAATGTATATATTTTTACATTCTTACACACTTTTATAATTTACCATAGATAATTGGCTGATTAGATGGCTCCAAGATACACTTTGGTTTCGTTGTAATTCACTTTTCAACACTGATGAAAGATGGGGTCGGCCTCATGACGTCCTAGAAATTACCGTTGCAGGAAGGAGGGTACCGAATCAAAGAACTGTTGAGAAAAATGTTGTGAGACCATGTATGGAGGAGCTTGTGGCCGATGGATACATAATTCCTGACATCTCATATATTTGACTACAAGCTTTACACGAGAGCAATCTAGATGTGGCAGCAGTTAGTGAGCTGACTACTCAGGGCAACGAAATAGATGTGGTATAGTCAAAGTGGTGCTCACATGTGTGTATATGTATATGAGTGTGTGTGTGTGTGTATAGACAATATATTATTTTTCCATTCATGGTGCTCATATTCTATTTGTTGACACCACTTGCAAGGTTTGTATCATGTTTGACGTACCCTGCGTGTAGCTTCTACGCCATTCTAACTCAAGCTATGGAGCAGCTCAGGTACTTTTGGTACTATGCAGGTTCAAGGCCCACCTCACATGGATTGCAGGGTCATCTACATTTTTCTTTAGATCCTAGCCCATTTGAAGTGCCTCCAGTTTGTTCAATAGTTTGTAGACCGTGTGGTCATTCTTGTGAGGCCAAAGAGAGTGCACTATTTTATGCGTTGATATACTTAAATGATGTGCTTGGATACACAAAAGGGGATGTTTGCTACACTGATTATGTCATGGCACTTAGTGACCAGTAGTAGTCGGTGTGCTCCACTTAGTTTGTAATAAGAGTGTAAGAGTGAGATGAGACTTTGATTTGTAATGACTTCGTCTCTACCTACTAAGCATGTATATATGGTTTTTTATTTATGATGTATTCATATATTTTATCTTGTGAGAAATGTGATGGCAATGAGAATTCTTTGGTGCATTACAATTGTTTGGTGTGTTATAATAATAACTGCCGGGTGTGGTATTGAACTGGCAGTGGCATTCAACAATTCACTATCGGGTGTGCACCACTCTAGCAGTGATGCTACGAGTGTTATTGCCGGGTTGAAGCATGAACCTATAGCGGTAGCATGAGTGTCACTGCCGGTTCATTCTTCAACCTGACAGTGAGACTCATGACACCATTGCCAGTTCATGCTTCAATCCGACACTGATAACCATGAGATCACTGCTAGCTAATGCTTTGACCAGACAGGTATAGTGTATTATCACTGTCGGTTCGGCAAAACCGGCAGTAATAGGCCACCTTCGTCACCGCCGATTATGCTCTCCCCGAAACAATTCCGACAATACTGGAGGGTTCCGACCCGGCAGTGATTTTGTGTTCTGGTGTACTGGAAAGACAGTCAAATAAAGAGGAACAACTTGTAATATTCTTCCCCCACGATTTACAGATTCAATTGTCCACATTGGTAGCTTCAAGCAGTGAGCCAGTGACCAAACAACCCATAGCATGCAAAGAACCAACCCTTGCAGTAAACCATGCACGCATCAGCGGCGGAAGCAGCAGCAGCACGATTTCGGGCTCGGTAGCTTGAAGCTGCAGCACTTGGGCGCCCTACATTTCGGCGCTTTGAACCTCCACCACCCGCACCGCTGCTGGTGGGCGTGTCCGTCGCCGCTGTTTCCGCCGCCGCCGCCACCGCTGCTCTTCTTCTCGGCATGGACGAGCCTCTTGAGCTCGGCCTTGGTCTTCTTCAGCCGGGCCTCGTACTCCTTCTTCCACGACGCGAACTGCCGCTTCAGCGTCTTGAGCTCCTCCACCGACTTGGCGCTGCTAGGAGACGGCGGCCTAACCTCCACCACCGCGCGCGCGTTGTGCTCAAACGCCTCCCTCTCAGTCTGGAACTCCCTGGCCAGTTGGTTCACCGGCTCCGCCAGTGTCCTCTCGTCAGCTGCGGCGACGACGGCGGTGGGCTCGGAACCGCGCTGCTGGTGCCTCGACGATGGTGGCTGAGACGGCGGAAGACCTCCACGAGATGATTCCTGGCCGTGCTTCGTCGATCCATCTCTCCTTCCCCCGGCGGTTTGAGCCATCTGCATGCAGCACGAAGATTAAACATGCATGGACGAATTCGTGAAGGAACTGAAGAAGGGCAGGGCTTTGCATGCAGTCAGTACCTGTAACGAAGTGATCTGCCTCTGCAGCTCCTCCTCCACAGATTTCATCCTGACCTCGCATTCCGAGAGCCGGGATTCGTAGTGCTCAACCTGTCGTTGCAGCGTGGAGATAAGCTCCTCTTTCTGCCTCATCTCCTCCTCTTTCTGTTTCACCTCCTCCTCTGCCTTGGCGGCCCTTCTTTCCAGCTCCAGATTCACCAAGCATTTCTCCTCATCCTCTTCCTGACATACATCCACATGTATGCATGTAAATCGATCATACTTTTATATTTCCCTGCAATCAAATCATCTTCAAGGCAATGTATAAAAAATGGACGGTTAATTCGTGGCACCTGTGTTGGCGGCGGTACCGGGGAAGGGCGGTGGATCCACGGAGCTGCTGCTGTGCCGCCGGGCCTCTGCAGCGCCGGAAGTCTGCCTCGTCCCGTCGGGCGCGTGGGCAGCGCCGGTGGCTCCTCTTCTTCTTTGGGCTTGGGTTCTTCCGGCTTGCCTATCCCTCGCTGCATGAGCGCGTCCAGCATCACCTCCATGGAGCTCAGCGCCGACGTCAGAGTCGCGGCCATCGTGCATGGTAATGCCGGCCAATGCTATGCCGGCCGTTCGTATACGGTTGACCTCTGTTCTTGCAACAAAACCAGGTATCGATCTCTCACCCAAGAAGATTGTCTTTAGAGTTCAACCGAAGATCTTTTTTGGTTCTGTCACGCGATTCTCATGCAAAATTTTGGAACCGTTGTTTGAGCACGCTGCATGACTGACGAAGACACGAATGAGGGATAGTCATGCGTTTAGTATTGAGAAGAAAATACAGGAAAAATGGTGGAAACAGTACAAGCAATAATGCCGATGAATCCACCTCGAAGATTGATTGATCAGAAACCTGCAGTTCTTGTTGGATTCAAGAATCACGGGCCGAGCCAATGGATTTCGACGTCGATGGTGCGGCTACAATGATAATCTGAGGTTGAATTGCGGAGGAAGAAGAGGGGATCGCGGCACCGGCTCGGGAAGAGCAAGGGAACCGCGGGAAAACCAGGCCGGCTGCCGCGGGATATCCAAGGACCCCGCCAGCGCGCGGCCTTCCGCGGTTGGAACTGGCGTTGGTTTCCTGCCTGCCTCCCTGTAACATTTCTGCCTGATTGCCCGTATTAGCATGGTGGTTTGCATTGGTTGCCTGCAGGTCCAGGTATGCGCATGTCGTCCCAGCTGCCGCCCTTTTTTCCAGAGAAGCTTGGCTGGCTCGCCGTGTTGTAAGGGATGCCGTTATTTCAACCTGGCCTGCCATACTCATCACTGTCATAAATTTGGACATTAATCTGTGGAGGAGTAAAAACGATGAATGTACCTTCCTTCACATTTGTTACCTTGGTACAAATACTGTGTTTGCCGCGTATTAGTACGGAACTGCTTGGATGGCTAGCTGGGATCAGTGACCATCTAGACCTGATCTGTAGGGACAATTCTTGCCCACAAAATTTGGTTCAGTTTAGAGTATATATTTGGGAGAGCTCCACCACTGAAAACTAAGATGAGATCCACAAAATTGAGGTTTTGGTGGGAATGACCACTGACGCCCTTGGGGTTGCATGATATATATTTTTTCTTCCATATGTTTTCTTCATGTCGATTTGCATCAATTTAGGGTCAGCCACTACCACCCTCCCAATTGCAACAGGGATATACTAAGGCCGACTTTCGACGGGTGAGTTGTATGGAGCCCCCGTCTGACTTTGCAATCGAGGACCAATGTCCGTCTGGCTCGAGCAAACCTTTGCACTCCTCCGTTACCTTTTGAAATGCCTATCCTCCATAGAAACTGTCTACCTGAGACTGCCCCTTGGCCCGCGGTCTGACACAAGGTTAGAATCCGAAATCAAGGGGCATTCCTTGAATGCGACTGCAATTATACATGGAAGAAATGATTAAGAGAGCTGTATTTGCAAGGGAATTAGGGGTTCCTATTTGTCGAGGTTATGATACCCCGGATATCTCAAGACACCGATTAGTTAGCCACTCAGGCGGCCCATGATGCACAAGCTGATATAAGCCCGAACGACCGCGGCCCAACTAAGTTGTGTAGACATGGGCCAAATGCTACGACGGGGAGTCAGCTATGACCTCTCCTTCCTCCCTTCACCGCGCGCCGCACGACCTCCCTCTCTCGTTCCAACCCCTGGAAGGGGCAAGGAGGGGTCGAGGCTCACTAGGTACAACTGTCCAGACAAGGACAAGCACGCCTGCTCAGTCCGCCAAGACCAAAGGGACAGCCCTCTAGGAGCAGGCGCCATCCCTACGCCACGCCGTAGATAAGACTAGACCACCAGGTGGTAACAACAAATACAGTGACCACCGACCAGATACGGCCTGATACAACGGGTGTATGGCCACACCCACTACGGGATGGGGCTCGCAGCTACGGCCTTGACTTTCAAGGCCACCTAGGCCAACATAGGTCACGACCCCGGAGCCCGGGATCGTGGCCATTAGCTCCACGAGCAGCAAGACAACCAACGACCAGGGGGTGGCCACCAACTCCTATACGACGCCCCCAGGAGATCAAGAGACGGTGACGAAGGCCACGACAAAGACCATGTCACGCAGGATGGCTGACGAAACACTATCATGCCAATAGTGCCGCCATGTCCGGCATAGTAGCACTACACCACCCCATACCGCGATGTGAGCAAAAGACCATGATGACAACCACACCTAAACATGTGCTACACCAAGACAAGACGGCCTTCCTTGCTAGCCAAGTTAGCTAATTTTCCTCCCTCAGGTTCATGACCACATGGTCGGGAGAACCTCCTTCTTTGTATGTGGCTAGGCCCCAAACTCTATATAAGGGCAGCCAGGGCACCCATCCAAGGGAACGGACTCTCGAGACTTCATTCGGACAGTCCCTCTCCACTCTCCTACCTCTTTCACTCTTCTTACGACACCCATTGTAAGAACTTCAGAGCATTCAACTGAGGAACACACACTCGATCTTCTCTGAGACTGGACGTAGGGCTCTAGACTGAACCAGTATAATTCCTTGTGTCTTTTGGATGCTATCATCGTCTTCCTACAGCAGCGCAACATTCATACAAATTCACTAGTCGGTCGACAAAACACCGACAGTTGGCATGCCAGGTAGGGGACAGTCGCGCACTCTCTTTGTTGAGAAAGAAGCGATGGCTCCTCACGTCGTTGATAGATTCAACTACGGAACAGGCCCCCAGCAGCCGCATCCGCCATGGGAACCCCGAGTTCGCCAATGTCGACGGGTTAGAGCCCATGTTCGCCTTAAGCCCTAGACAGGTCCTCTACCCTAGAGTCTTGGACTCCATTGCCTACAGCAGATGCATTCTTGGAATGGCCCTCAGCGGCCGCATCCTAGAGTTCACCTACATAGGAGGGCCAATACCTCCTATCATTTTTAGCCATCGTTAGAACTTCCACCCAAGAAACCCAAGGCCCATGGCTCATGACGAACTCACCCATGGAATGGCCCTCAGCAGCCACATCCGCTAGGGAAATCATGAGTTCACCCGAATCGACGGGTTAATGCTCATTGCAAGCTTCTACCCCATCCAAGCTCTCCACGTCGGGAGTATGGATCCTACGGTGGGATCACGCCCTAAGCAGCGTCTTTGCCACCGACGAGACATGGCGGATCAGGGCGCACACAAGCAATGAAACCATCTGCCACCATGCGGTGTTGTCGCTACCATCTGGCATCATGCCTCTCGAGGTCACGCCCGGGGGCCTAGGTCAAGCCACGCACGCTGGACTGGCCATCCACCATGTCAACATGAACTGTTAGCTCTCCTGCGGAGGCACATGCATCCAAGGACGCGTGTCCTCCAAACGCGCGCCACGCCGCGCCGAGCGAACGGTGCCATGGCACGTTTAGAACCTACACTCATGGCAACAGGTCCTGCCTGCTCTTCATCACGAACAGCAACTATAGCTAGAAGCTAAGAAGCAATGGTCGTGATGTCATCATGGCATGAGGACTCGGACACCGGGGCGCTCAAGCCCTCACGATCAAGGATTTCCCTAGGTAGAACGTGAATAAATCATCCCCGGGGGCTCACAAGACTACTAGGGATTGCGAGCCAGCAAGGGTCGACCCGAAGCCACCCAAGAGGTTGACCCATACCGACTATGACTGCTCCGGATGGTAGAGAAGTGCCCTCACTACTAGCTTGTGGCCTAGAGACCGCAATGACCTCACCATGGACATGCGCTCGGGGGCTCGCCATGCCCCGAGCAACGACGGTAGGACCCCCGACGACTTCTGGTACACTGCTCAGTTATGTCAACTCTATCCCTAGCCTCTCTACCCAAGCACGTTCACATACACGTGTAGGCTCACCCATAGTTTCAAAAACTCAGAGCCGACCTGCAGGGCAAACCTAAGAACATGATACGACTACAATCTATTTTGGTGTCGATCGCCTTCAGAGTGACCCGTTCCGGCTTGTGCAAGCAGCCAAACATGACTCACTTGCAGGGGACACACATCACATATGCTCTAAGGCATAGCACTATTTGTCATCATCCCAGTGACCTATCGCAAACTTTTCTTGTTTGCACCCGATGCCACGACAAATCAGTGATCTACCCCTCAACTTCTCGTTCGTACTAAGAGGTCATTCTGGCCTCGTGGACCAGCCATAAGGCAAGGCCAAGCACCCGCACTTGAGTTCGAGGAGAACATGATGTTGTTTTGCTCAAGGTAAAGGGGACGAGTGGAAATAGATCTCTTGTCGCCTGCTCGTCCTTCTTCTCGCATCGCACTAGATCTGCGACCTACCCGTGAAGTCTCGCCACGTCGACGAGTCATGCGCTCTTTAGCCCCGTGGACTAGCCCTGAGCTAAAACACGCACTTATGCGTACGAGACTAGTGGAACGGAGCACATTCTGACTCGAACGAAAAGAAAGCGAAAAAGGCAACAAGATGACAAACGAATGTGCCGACTAAACACCGTGGGGACCAAGGCCCATGTCAGTGACATGAAACTTCTAGCGTTTGCCTCAAAGTTGCCCTAGGTCCACAACACAACCATCACAGCGCATCAAGAAGCGCATGTCGAGAGTGGCACTCTGGCGGCACGCTCATCCCCGAGTGACCGATGTCAATCGGCGTGTGTCAACCGACACAACTCACTCACAGGGGCTACACCATGGTACATCACACGTCAACACACAATGATGGGTCGCATGAAGCCAAACCCAAAGAGTCAGTTCTAGGCAAGGCCAAACACCCGTGCATAAGGAAAACAGAAGGAAAACATCTCCACGACCTAAATCAAAGAGGTCGAGAGAAGGCACAATGGCACTGGATCTATCCCACAACCCCTCGGACTCGAAACTGGAGTCAAGCTAGGCCAAGCCTCATGGGTTGATCCCACGGTGATGACATATCAAACTACCAGATCACCGATGATCACAACGGATCAATGGAAAATGAAATAAAAAATAAAAATCGAGACAAGCAAACTAAGAAGATTTTCTTTTTCTTATTCATTTGAGATCCTAGGTACAAACTAGTGCCTTGGCCACTGCCGCGGA